AAGCATGACTAAAACATCAGGAGGATTTCCTGAAGCAACAGCACAATATTTTTTCATTCCTGAAAACTGTAATGGAGTGAGCAGTGAGCCTGGAGAGGAACACCCACTCACCCTGTGCACAACAACTTTCCCTCCTCACCCAGTTTCATAGCGTTCACCCTCAGGGACCCTGCGACACAGCCTGGGGGGAGGGTGACTCAATGGGCAGCCACACATTCAACCTCCCAGACCTCAGGAGGCAAAAGGCTGTCTTTCTTGCCTTGATGATCTCCTTCCCCTCCCTTCTTTGGGTCTGTGACAGGGCGTTCACCCTGCACTGGCCCTTTAAGGGCAAACCCCAGCCTGGAACAAGGCCTGGGAGTTTAGCCCCAACTGAGGCTGCATTAGTCGATTAGGGCCCAGCTGGGAGCTATATAAGAGGATGGGCTGCTGCTCCTGGAAAGAGCAGTGAGAGCCTAGCTGCTGGGGGAGTAGGAGGCTCCCTGGAGCTGGGGCAGAGCTGGGGAGGCAAGGCAAGGCAGGGCTAGGGGAGCTCTGGCCAAGCAAACCCCCAGACTGCAGGGCCTGAAGAACAGCCCTTTAAAGAATCAACAACCCCCAGAAAGGGGGCTCAGATGGATGTGGGCACAGCCAGAGGGCAGTGTCCTGAAGAGAATGCCATGGCATGGAGGAAAGAGGGGAAACCCCCCCCCAGGGAAGGTCCCCTGCCAGTAGAAGGAGCTAATTCCATGGACAGACGGCAGGCGGTGCTATGGTGGTGAGTGAACCCCCTCACAGGGTCCCACCATGTACTACTTTTCTGTCCCTGCTGTCTTCCCTAAATACAAATGCATGATCTCTGCACAAGAGTCTATTGCTTGTATTGCAATACAATACACTGAAAGCAGTGGCACTTCACTGAGAGCAACGTGCATGAATCTCTAAACTGGCTATATATGAAACTTTCTTTCAAGGCCTCTCTGATTTGCACTGCCCTGCACTGTCATCTCTTCATCATCTTGGTGACTAGGTGTCAAAATCTCTGGCTAGGCATTCTTTCTCAGCTCCCACTCTTCCAGATAACATTACCCTTGCTCTTACGAACATTGTGGTGCATGCAACAGGCTGTGCCACAAAGGGAATGTTGCAGTCCCTGAGGTCCAACCTAGTAAGGAGACTCCTAAACCCACCCTTTAAATGCCCAAAAGCACATTTAAGTTCACATCATTCTGTACTTACTCAGCTTGTGGTTGATGTGCTCCTTATTGAAAGTTCCTGCTGCCCATGTATGGCTTCATGAGCCGCAAGAGGTAGGCTGGCTCCCAGGGATCACTATTGACATTTCCACCTCTCTAATTCTGATTTTCCAGTCTGGGGGGAAGTTCCAGGGTGCATCTTTCTGAAGCAGTAGGACTTCCTAAAGATAGGAGCATCATGCACCTTTCTCGGGCATCTCATGTTGATGTCGGTGAAATGGCCCTTGTGATCCACCAGTGCCTGCAGCATTGTTGGGAAATACCTCTTGTGGTTTATGTACTCTTTGGCAAGGTGGTCAGGTACCAAGATAGGGATGTGCATTCCGTCTATTGCCCCACCACAGTTAGAGAGCCCCATTGTGGCAAAACCATCTACTATGATATCCACATTTCCCAGAGTCACTAACCTCCATAACAGAACGGTATTGACGGCCTTGGCTACTTGTGTAACAGTCCCCACTGTATATTTCTCCACTCTAGATAGCCACCAGTCAGTTGGGAATCAATCTGGTGTTGCGAGCCTCCACAGGGCTATTGCCTCGCTCTTCCCCATGTTCCGAGCAGACCTCATTCAGATGTCCCTGGGCTCCAGGATGGGGGAAAGCCATTCACAAAGTTCCGTGACAGTGGCTTTGTGCATTCAAGAGTTTTGCAGCCATGGCTGATCATCCCATACCCGCAGCACTGTGTGGTTCCACCAGTCTGTGCTTGTTTAATGGCACCAGAATGACATTCCACTATGTTCAGAGGATCAACTGGTGGCAGCGTTTCCACAAGCGCAAGGGCTTATCTATACATTGAGTCCATGGGATCCTCAGGTTCATCCTTGTTCTCTTCCTGATGGAGTGACGTGAGTACAGATATCTGCAGATTTGCTGCACTCTACAGACCAGAAGTGGTTTCTCAAGTGGAAGGCCAGAAGTTGGAGCAAGGATTTGCTGGGTTGTGCGCCGTTAATGCAGCACAGCTGTACAATTCTCTTTGTGTGTTGGTATGTTGTAATGGGGGGATTAGAGTTTGATGGAAGAGCATCTGGGGGAAAGGAAGAGACAGAAACCCAGGATCTGGCATAACATAGATCTTCAAGTTTTCCCTCCATGGCAGCAGTGTGGAGGATATGATGGAGGATATTCAAGCCACAGTTGCAGCAATCACATCTGGCTCTTTGAATTTTTTGAAGTTCCAAGGCATTCAGGTCTGGGGTTTGAATGTCCCCGCTCTGGACCAATAGCTAAGTTTGGGAGCAAGGTGTCAGTTGGGCCAGCTCCTGTCCATAGTTACAGTTGTGAAACTCGGTCATTTCACCAGCTCGATGCTTACCTAAAGTTCTTTTTGCACATCTGTTGCAAACGCTTTGGAACAGCTCTGACTAAAACAGTGCTTGGCAAGATTCTGGGGTAGGCAGGCTGCAATTTTTTAAAGTCCAAAGATAAAACATTTCCAACTATTAATAATGTGCCTGCCTGAAAACACACACTCCACAGCACCACATCTGATTGCCCTGATGCCAGAAACACCTCCTCTGCTTACCAGATTCATGGAGCTCTCCTGCACTCAAAACATTTGCCCGTGAGTTCAGGTGGAGGAATAATGCTGTCAAGCAGTGTTTCTTAGCCAGGGTGCTAGAGGGCTTGCCTTTCATCGCCTCCCATGGTTCCTGTCAGGCAGACAGAAAGCAGAAAACCCGAAGTCTGGAGTTCAGACAAAGCGACATTACTGGGGTTAGTTCCAAGTAAGCACATCTGTTGCGCTACACAGCGGCAGAGTCTGTTTCCCCGCATTGATGCTCAGAGCCTCTACCCTCTATCCCTCTTCCCAGCTGTGACACCAGAGCCCTGCCTGTGTCCCCATTCATCTCTTCTCCTCCTTTTTGGCAGCCCCAAATACATCTGCCATGTACGCCCCAGTCCCAACCCTTTCAACCTACAGTCCTGTTCCATTTTGGAGAGACATGAGTCTGGGGTCTTCCTGCCATATCTTTTGTTTCCCATGGGAGGCATAAGTAGCAAGCTTATGCTTTCGTCAGAAGCGGGCATTCCTTGGGCTTTGGGGGTTTCTTATGCCTGCCTTTCCTAGCATTCCTTGCCTCTCCCAACTGGTTGCTTGAACGTGGCTTGAGAGAGGATTCCTGCCTATGCTCATACATTACACTCTCACCATACTCTGTAACACTTTAGTTCTAGCCTTTGTTTCTTCCCATTATACAGGCTGAACCTCGCTTCTCCAACACTCTCTGGTCCGGCATGATTTTAGTTAGCTTGATGTCCACTTGTTATGGGTGCAGCCAAGTTTTTTGCAATCTCATAAAACTTTCTTTATAGCCATCAGTCCTGCTTCTCTGTGTTCTGTGCTTTTATTTAACTTTGTTACCTTTAAATATCTTCTAAGAACCCAGTAAGTATTTGAAGCATTGGTAATGCTGCCAGACAATATTGCCCTCCCGTGGTTTGGTGCCAGACTAGAGACATTCAACCTGTATTAACAAACCCATCTGACCAGGCAGAAGCAACATACACAATGGCTTTGTTCACATATTAGTGTAAATGTGAAAGAGAATCAAAAAGACAAACCCCTATTCTACCTCAGGCTGACAAACGAATCTATATATTAACACAGGATGTGTATAACCTGGGACGGGGGATTGTAGACCTCTAGCAAGTACATCACCTTATCTAAAAATTGGCTTAGTTTTATAATAGGCTACAGAAAAACCACACAAGAATTTAGTACAAAGTAAATCTTCATACCTTATTATACTTATGACTTTATTATTCTGTAAATATGCTATATTGATTTTATATATCAATGCATTTTCCAGTTGATTTATTTTATAATGCTATGAGAAAATAAGCAATTGCTCAGTATTAGTGGGCTGTGGCACTTTTGTATTTTCCTGTTGCACCCATGAAAGCTCGTAATACCATCAATATTTTTGGTTAGTCTCTAAGGGGCTGCAGGACCATTCATTGTTTAAGTTTTTTTGGTTACAGACTAACACAGCTACCCCTCTGGGACCCGTCTGATTTTTTTTGTAAAGTAAGTAGGTTTTAAGGGAGGTGAAACTGGCAGCCTGCAAGACAAGCGAGACTCCTGAAAGGGGTACAGTAGTCTGGAAAGGTTTGGGAGCTGCTGAAGTATAGAGCAGCCATTCCCACAACTCCAACATTATTGTACCCATTTCAGAACTGTGGAGACCAAACCCCATAGACCACCCAGAGAAGAAACTTGGTGTGTGCATGACATTGCGCCAACACAGTTCCCCATTTGTCTCAGACCAGGCCCTATGAGTTCTGCTGCTGTCTGCTTATTGAGCTTACATTTGGCCATCAGTTTGAGAAATGCCAACTTACCCCTAACTGGGTTACTTCCACTTGCTGCAGATCTGCAGTGTGGCTCTACCAGATTCCAGACTTCTGGTAGAAATACATCGGTATGGACATATTGGGTCAGACTAGCCCAGTGTCCTGTCTTCCAACAGTGACCAAGACCAAGTGTCCCCAGGACAGGGAACAGCACAGGGAATCATCAAGTGATCCCTCCCCTATCACTCATCCCAGCTTCTAACAGAGCTGGGGACACCATACCTACCCATCCTGGCTAATAGCCATTGATGAACCTGTCCTCCATGCATTTAATCTAGTTCTTTTTTTAATGCTGTTAAAGTCCTGGGGGATAAAGACAATGCATCAGGTTTTAAGCACAGACTTTAATGTAAAAATGATGGAATTCCAAAAAACATTAAAATTCGAATATGAGCCTTGACATTTTTTTCATTCATTGAACAAAATTAAATAAATTAACATAAAACTCTCACAGAACAGCTGGAACTTCACATATTACATTTTCATAAGGAATTAGCATATTAGATAAAAAATCCAGATGAATCAAAATAACTTAAATAAATAACGTTTGAGTTCTTGGTCTCAAATATTAACTTTTTAAGTAGAGACCGCTATAAAATAGTCAATGTGCTACAGCACAATAAATAATGCCCACCCAATAACAGTACTTTGGCAGCTTCATTTCTGAAACCACAAAACCCCAGTCAGGAGCTAGCCTCTGGTTAGCCAAGACTCAGTGCAGCTGTTTCAACATGCCTGTGCAGGGGAGGGATAAGTGTCGCCACTGTACTGCTGTAATGGCAAAAGAGCCTGGCTGAGAATAAATGAAGCTGCGCTGCAAGTGCATTGCATGCCTGAAACTGTGTCCTGCCTAAGTCATTTCCAATGAGTCTTCATTTCATCAGCAAATCACTTTTCCCTATCCAGTGTTCTCAGCTTTACAAAGTACCATATTCTATAGGACATTTTTTAAAAAGTCTTTTAACGATGCTTCTCAATAAATAAATAAATAAATAGATGATGCTAGCAGATGGAGACATGCTGCTTATAGACTAGCCAGCATTTTCACAGAGATGTTTCCTTCAGGAGGAAACTGGAGAACAGCAGTGTGTTTTCTTCTTTGGCTTTTCTTAGAGCATTGTTTCACCATTGGCTTCAGCCCTGTAAAGAAAGGAAGAAAAGGAATAGTTTAGAAACCTGGTGACAGGACAGTTATCATTAGTTAGAGTCACATGGGCTCAACAGAAGGCATATGAATAGCTTAGCTGAAGACCCGAGAATTATCGGCTTCTTTGTACTGCTGGTTCCTCAGTGGGGCAGAAGGTGAGACCCACATTTTCACAAGTACTGATGCTGGGATGAGCACCCTATTTTGCTGACCCGAACATGAGAACTCTTGCTCTCCACCACAATGGTGAAACTTCATTAACTTTCGCATAGTTACTCTTGCTTCTCTCCAAGAGGGAAATAAGGCTGGAGCGTGGGGGCTGATATTGAGAAGCACTGAGCACTTGTGAGTTGCACTGTCGCCAGAAATACTAGCAGCTGCCCTGCATTGCTAATGGCACATAAGAACGGCCATACTTGGTCAGACCGAAGGTCTATCTACCCCAGTATCCTGTCTGCTGAACGTGGCCAATGCCAGATGCCCCAAAGAGAGGGATCTCAATAGGCAATCCTCACAAGATCCCTCCCCTGCCACATGCATATGGCTTACCCAGGCTCACCAAGGAAGCTTGGGGCAGAGAAGAGAACAGGAAGAACCTCAGGTCTAAAATCTAACCACCAACCCTCCCTTAAGGTAGGACATTGCTGTTATTTGTCTGGATGGAGAGACAAGTTCTGTGACAACTTGCTATGCTCTGAGGAGTAACCCTCAAACAGTTTGTGCTAAGAAGTACCTAGTTATTCCTTTAAACTAATTGAGGACAAACAACTCACTTGTCCAAAATTGCCTTAACGATCAGCTTCACCCATGGAGCGGTGGGTTCCAAACACACTTCTCTACCATCCTTCAGAGTAGCACTGCAAAGAAGGTAAACAAAGATGGTCAAGTATCTACCTACTTGGTGGACTCTCTGTACTCGCATCAGGGGATCTTTCTACCTTTTAAGACCAAGGCATGGCTGGTATGGATTGACATGGGTTCCACTGATCTCACTAGAGAGTTACACCAATTTACACAGTTTAGGGTCTAGCCCCAAATCATTTGTTGACAGAAAGCATTTCAGGTTTGCCAAAAAAAGCCCTGCTTATATATTCTAATGAATTCAAATTCTATATAAAGTGTGTGTTTATCTATACTGATGTCGCTTTTCATGGCAGAGGCTGATATCTGCATTGCTCCTTCTGGGAAATCTCCTGAGGACACAGTGGGGAATGTTGGGTGAGCAAGGACTGAAGCATGAGGCGCTTCATCCTGTATCATTCCAGTCCATGGGAGTTTCCCACAGAGTGTATGGGAGCAGAACCAAGTCCAGGACACTTGTCCTTATCAGGAGGACCACTCATTGTTTCATCACAGCTTGCCTAGACTTGCACAATGGCCTCATTCCTCTGTTTTACACTAGGTCAATCAGGATTTTTAGTGGGAGGTTTACTTGCAGAGGGGGTTCAGGAATTGGTTTAATGCAGGTTCTAGTACTTTATAGCTAATGTACATTATTCCTCACTGGGATTCATATTTCCACCCCAGAGGTACTGGACACTATGAAATGAAAAGTGCAGTACCTAAAATAATCTCTTAAGAATTTAAAAGGAAACATTTTTGGGGGACTCTCCCGGAGTGACTGGGGCTTTGAAAGCTCCTGGAGCAGCACAATGCAAAGCAGCAGTCTCCTCCTCTTTGACAGCAGTTAGAATTTGACAAAAGTGCTTACATGATTTCGACGTTCTGGCAGTGAGGGCCACTCTGGGTCAGCTTCACATTCTGAATGCTCCTGGGGGGGATGAACTTAGCGTGCGTGCTGATGCACTGGCAGCGGAGCTCACTTGCCATCCGGGACAGGCTCATCCCTGAAAAAAAACAAGAGTTGTGTCAGGCTCAGCCGAGTATTTCAGTGTCTAGACCTGTGAAGCAGCACTCATGGTCTTGCTTCTGGGGGCATTAATTAGACCTACTTGCTTTCTAGTTTTTCCCCGAAAGGTCTTGGCTAAAATGTTGCCTTTGTCCTCACTTCTAAGCTACCTGACTCTACACCGCTAAGCTACTGCAGTCATCTATATAAGTGACTGAAGATATCCATGGATCAATTTTTATCCTTTCAGGACTCTACCTAATTCCTCTCCTTCTCCAAAGGACTAGAGAGAGGCTCATGCTGCAATCTAGTGTTTGTATTTTTGGCAAAGACTATTGGAAGTATCCAGGGTGCTGTCTGTTGGTTTTTTTGTTTTTTATTTAAAACCTGCTTTTGTGGCCAGATTCTGATCTATTTACAATAAGCCTAGATTGTTATATCCTGTAACTTAGGACAAGATCTGCCCTCTTTTCAATTTGGAGGCAACTCTCTGTTCACATGCTCTGCTCTTATTACTTATGCAGGTTGCAGAATGTGTCAGGATGGTGGCAAACAGGATGGTGACCCCATGCAGGGTCAAAGCAAGAGGTGCTGGTGAGCATTTTTAGAAGACGATCCTGTGTGCAATCAAATACCTTTAGATCTAGGGGAAAGGCATATAGTGAGGTCGATACTACAGAAAATTATGCTTCTGTTATTCTTTTCCAGAAGGTGTCAGCAGCTCTGCAGAGCAGTTACTGATGCACTCTTCTTAAAAGCAGAACTCTTTTAGTCGAGCTCTCTTTTCAACTATCTTCACTGAACATCACCTTTGTAAAATTAGCCTAAAAATGTCTCCGCAGAGGAGGGTGCACCATAGGTGCCTAAGCCAAGTCATCTGAGCCTTAGGGAGGGTTTTGCTTACCTTCTGCCACTGCTGCGTAGAGCAGGAAAAGAGCCAACCCAGCAACAAGGACTTTGCCGTTCATGATGAGAGGGGAGGTTTCCTTCTTCCTTCTGCCTCTGCTTGTGAGGAATTGAGAGCTCGCTTATTCTCTGATGTCTGATGTCTGAGCTAGTAACCCAGCCCCTTTTATACACGGCCCTGGGTGTGCCCCTTCTAGATTGTGTCAGAGGAAATTCCCAAAGCAGGCAAGACTCTCTAGCAAACAGAATCACGTGGCCATGGGTAAAACCCCTTCCTAGATAACCATGGAGCTGGCTTTAGACCATCCCTCACATCAAGCTCCTTATCAGTAGGCTGTGCAAAGTCGCCGCGCAGCTGGCTCAGGCAGGCTTGTGTCACTTTCTGTATTATATTCTCCTGTATTCTTCTGTTGAGGACACCTTGGACTCCTGGCTCTCCCTCCACATTTCTTTGTCTGTGACACTGTGTTCAGTACAGGCGGTAGCACCGGGTTTTTTGGAAAGCGGATTTAGCCGCTCCTCTCTCGGATTGGAAACTCCTGAGATTCCTCCAAGTGGCACTTTCCCTCCCCACTCTGGCCCCTCGCTGCAATGGAAGGGGATTACCCCACTGCAGGGGCCCGTCTGGTGGAAAAATTGTCGGGATGAAACTTCCCCCGTTGCGTGGGAGAATTGAAATCCCCTCACTCCACCTCCGGCCTCTGCGCAACTCGCCACCTGTCACTGAGGGGCTGTTCTCACCTGGCCGCTAGGGGTGTCCAGCCCTTCCTCCCACCCCCACTCCCAGGTGGGGCACTGGGGCGGGCCGGGGCAGGGCTAGCTCCTCGCTGCAGTGCCCGCTGCGTTTGGGGATGTGGCCTTGCCTGGAAGGGACTGACTGTAACAAGCGGTGCCAAGTACACACGAGGGGCCCAGGGGAATGACCCCCCGATTTCTTGCAGCTGTGCTACTCTGCGGTGGGAGCCCACGAGCATCACGGGGATCCTCGCTGGCCTGCCCAGGGCTTGTGCCCTTCCAGGAAGCGCCCCCGATGCTGGGGGGGTAGAGGCTGGCTTGGAAAGGGGACCGCAGCGCGCAGCCAGGGATTCTGCTGAGCAAACGCCCACAGGGTGGCGGGGCTTGGAGTGAGGGGTTACCCGCCTGGTCCCTATGAAGCACAGTGGGGACCTCCCGTCGCCAGGGGCTGGGCAGATTTCTGCTTTGACAGCGAGTAACCCCACACACCTGCTCTGCCCAGCCGTTTCAGAGAGTCCTGAATTTCCTGCCACTCAAATGGCTCTCCAAAGTGCAGGCTTCAGGCCAGCTCTTCAGTTGTAGAGTCTCAGCCTAGCTTCCCTGAACTCAGTGGCCACAGGCCTGATCACAGCAGCTCAGGGGACAGCTCATTCTTTCCCATAATGAGGGTAAATAACCAAATTCACGTCCATTTGGGTCAACTTCAGCATCACGGGGATTTCTATCAGCAAGCCTGCTGATGGAGGGGATAAAAGGGGCAACTGCTTGAGGGCCTGGGGCTTTGAGCACTTTAAATTGCTGCCAGAGCGACATGTGCCATGGTCCAGGTTGATCTTAGGGCTGCCTGGGAAAGTGGGGGTTCCACATGGCACATTCCAGGCAGTATTGGGGATGGTGGGTGTGCTGTGGTCCAGGTGGCACTGAGAGCTGTCTGCTCCCAGCCCCACCCATTCTGCCCTCAGCTCTGCATCTTCTAGGAGCATGGTGCTGCCCCCGTTGCCCGGATGAGGGGCCTTGCATGGATGCTGCACCTCTGCTCCTCCCTCTCCCTGCCCCCCATTACATTCCAATTTTCCTTTAATATTGTCCCACTGTAGTAGTGGTTGGGTTGGCTGGACTCTCCTAAGAATTTGCTTAGTAGCTGAAGCAAACAAATCCCTATTTGGTCCCCAAGGCAGGCAAGCAGACAGTCTTGATATTTCTCCAAGAAGAGAAAGTGTGTTTTTATTCTAAAAACAGTCTTTCCCCAGAGCTAAAGCTTTGCCTTGCCCCTCCTCCCCATATCCCGCTGTCCCTCCCATGGAATATCCCCCCCATACACATTTGACAGCTTTCTTTTGTCTCCCATGGGACCTGTCCGAGGTGCAATAGGCAGAGAGCGGGTCTCTGAGCGATGGGGCTTTGGAGAGCTGTGGTGTGAGGGCTGGCGTGGGAGTCAGCCACTCCTGATCCCAGGAGTACTATCCCCAGCACCTCACACAGCTGTGCCCTGGGCCAACACCACCCTCTGCCACCTGGCAGCAAGAGCTCTTCCAAACTCCTTTATCCCAGCCTGTCACCCACTTCCTTCGTCCTAGGAAAGAGGATTGGCACCCGCCGAGCCTCCACTCTCTGTAGCTGACATCAGGAAGCACAGCTGTGTCAGCCTTGCCCGCGGAGGAACCTGTCAGTACCCACCCCCACTGCTGGCACCCACTCAGCTCCACGCTCCCACCTTCCCATTACAACCACCTTGCCCAGGGGAATGGAGCAGTATCTCTGAAAGCTGCCTTTCTTCTCTGAGGTGGGGGTGGGGCTACTGAGAAGACTACAGGAAATGAAGACCCACCCAGCTCCACTCCTATTTTCCAGGCCTGAAGAGCAAAGGCCTCAGGCTTCCTCCTCCTTCCAGCCTCGTGGAACGAGGTGTACAGATAGATCGGAATGGCTACGTAGTTCGAACTATCTAGCCCATGCCGCGTGTAGCCGTGTGGCACAGGGTTCGCACTAGCCGGCTTTTAAAAATGGCGGAGCCGGCTTTATGCTAATGAAGCCCGGGAAATTCAAATCCCGGGCTTCATTAGCAAGTTCGGTATGCATACATTACCCCACTAGTTCGAACTAGCGGGGTAGTGTAGACATACCCTTAGGCTCTAAAATCTAAGTCTCTTTTAAGAAGAGAGGCTAAAGTGAATGGGACTTTTCAGCTTAGAAAAGAGGAGACTGAGGGGGGTTATGATAGAGGTATATAGAATCATGAGTGGTGTGGAGAGGGTGAATAAAGAAGTTATTTATAATAGAAGAACTAGAGGACACCAAATGAAATTAATGGGTAGCAGGTTTAAAACTAATAAAAGAAAGTTCTTCACACAGCGCATAGTCAACCTATGGAACTCCTTGCCAGAGGAGGTTGTGAAGGCTAGGAGTATAACAGTCTAAAGAGAAGCTAGATCATTTCATGGAGCTTAGGTCCATAAAAGGCTATTAGCCAGGGGATAGAAATGGTGTCCCTGGCCTCTGTTTGTCAGAGGCTGGAGAGGGATGGCACAATACAAATTGCTTGATCATTGTCTTTGGTCCACCCCCTTTGAGGCACCTGGCACTGGCCACTGTCGGCAGACAGGTTACTGGGCTAGATGGACCTTTGGTCTGACTGAGTATGGCTGTTCTTATGTTCTTATGCCACAGGATTCCTTGTTGTTTTTGCAGATACAGATTACCATGGCTACCCCTCTGAGACTTTATACTTCGTGTACTTGTCATTTTTGGTTAGCCTGTTTAGTTAAGGGAACTGGAGGGAAAATTGCTTGCAGAACGTTTTCTTCGATCCAAGTTCAGGGACAATTGTGGTGTGTGCACAAACACACACACACACATTACATAAACAAACAGGAAAATCAGGCCTTCTTTGCCAAGAAGCCGGGGAACTTTCGGGAGTGATGCATTCAGAATCATATGACTGTCTCAGCTCTTCTCCTTGCAGGCGAGAACACCAGTTTATCAGACTCCCTGAGCAGGAAATTGTGTTCATTCCACCAATGGGAATTGAAAAATGCAATACTACGTTTTCCAAGAATGTGGACTTCTCCAGACTGACTTATTTGTGATGGTTCAAAACAGGAAAAATCTGATATTTTTTTCTGAAGCAGGAAAGTGATGTGGATCTCCAGCAGACACAGTCATGATCTGATCACACCTACTTGTGATGGCAAGCACACATGTCATCCTTTACTTCCATGGATTCAAAGAGTGTGACAGAAAATAAGCCAAGAAAATTCTGGAATTACAGAGGTGGGTCCTGCTGGGCCTCACCAGTTTTGGTTCAGATCACCAATTTGTCACACTTCCTACTTTAGGTTGATGGTATCACAGAATACTGGCCTGGCTTTCTACCTAAACCCAGCTGCTCTGTATCAGGACCAGGAAGATAGCTGGAAATACTCTGTAGACAGAGATTTCAGACCATTCTTATCCCTTGCAGAATATTATCTACTAGGACTAGAAGCACTGTAAAATGAAAAAAAAAATCCTTATGGTCTATGTCTAAAGATGATCTTAGTACAAATGACCTCTTAGTCCTAAAAGCTTTAAAGATATCTGCCACTTCAATCAAAGACCATTTGGCAACAATATCAGCATTTCTTCCTTCAGTAGAAAGGGCCAGGCTTTTCTCTCATCCGCCCGTGAACCAACTTTATGAGCGGGCTTGACCACATTTTTATTCCCATGAGAGAGATCCTCTCCATTCTAGGACTTTAATGTCGTGCTTTATTCCCATATTTTTTTCAGGTGGATAGAGTTAATTACAAGACCACGCCTGTAATTTAATTCTAAGAGTGATATAAAAATCTGATAGTGATCGGTTCATTCATTTTTCCAGTTTTTTCCCTAAAACTCTCATTCTTCACTTTCTGCCTCTAAATTACTTATCTTCTAAGTCGGAAGGCCATTGGTCTGTATTAGGTAGAACTAATTTTTTCCTAAAACATCAAGGCTTTTTTCATTGTTCATGGTAAATTTTTCATCACTAAGACTTTCAAAATGGGTAGGGGGTGGTACTGGATCTACTTCCGGTATTAAGAACAATACTCTGTGAAACATCTGAACTCTACCAGAAATCAAGCTCTGTGATTTGCATGCTTACATTAAACTTCCAGTACAGGAAATATGTAGCACAGCTGCCTGGTCTTCAGTTCCTAAGTTTGCCAGATATTATTATTATTATTATTATTATTAGTCACCGTTTGGAGATCTAAATAATACTTAGTCCTGCCATGGGTGCAGGAGACTGGACTAGATGCCCTCTGGAAGTCCTTCCAGACCTACAATTTTGACTGGACCCTTTGTATGGAAGAGCTGTTTCACACTCTCTTAGGTCAGTCCATACTACACCTGGAAAGCAGGCTATGTAAATAACATAGCTGGAGTCAATGTGCCTTAAGCTGAGTAAGAGGTCAATGGGAGAAATGCTCCTGTTGACTTTCCTTACTCCTCAAAATGCAA